CGCACACACAGTGGCTACCACCAGATTAGCCGACTGAGCTAAGCTGCTCTCTCAACTGCCAAATATTAATCTTTAGTTGATTGCTGGTGCATTGATATTAAGGTAAAATACATTATTGAGATATGTAACTATGTACTAAAAAAAATTAATATAAATAAAATATGTATATATATTTTTTTTTTCAAAATGTTTTTTTTTTCTCTCAATACTATAGAAAACTCTAGTGGAGTTGAATAGCACAGTAGTTAAGATGCTTGCCTTCTGATCCCAGGGTCCTGGGTTCAATTTATGTGACAGCAGGACTTTTTCTCATAACCAAAACCAACTCCATTCCCTAAGCCTCATAAAGAGACTTGGTTTATAAAGCATCATTCTCATCCTGTAAGTGGCAAGTGTACTTGCTGTTGGATGTGAAGGAAATAGAAAAAAAAAAAAATGTGGTCGACGGTGATAAACTAATAATTTTCTTTTTATTGGGCCTAATGTTAGGCATATAACTATGGTAATAGTACCCTACTCGTGTATTTTCCATTTATTCTCAATAATATGAGCAAAGAAAAAAAACAAAACTGATTTGTAATCAACAACACATTGTTCATATATGAAAATATTGAAATTAAATGGTTTAATGACACCTTTGGGAACAATAAAACTTCCTTTATTGGATAGGCACTACATTAAAAATTGCAAAAAAAAATATAAAACTGACATATTCAGCAGTAGACACATGAGTCCTCTGGGAACCGGTCTTAAATAATTATCTGCAGCTGATTATGTATCATCACTGTAATAATAGCTGCCTATTCTGATGGGAATTTCTCCTTCTGTGAATAATATTAAATTTAGGCTTGGGTCAACATTTTTCATATAAATAATGTTGAATTAGGACCAAGTAATAGTGATCTCTTATGAAACGTAACAGATATTTTAGAATTTCTCTCAGATTTAGTAAAATGTACAACAAATGCAGTATACCAAATATTATTATGTAACAGATTTCTTTCAAATTTAGTAGAATGCAATGAATGACTTTGGTGGCTATTATTAATTATCGCAATTCCCAAATTTGCTTTTAGTTTTTGTGTACAAAGGAACGTACACACCCGCAGGATTCTGGTTAATGTAACAGCCAAACTTCTTCTTTTCAGATATTTTCACCTATGGTTAAAAAAAAATGTAGACATGTAATTTTGTTTTTATGGGATGTTTGCAATACGCTCGTCAAATTGATGTATAAGCTGGCGTCTATATGTATCACTGCTGTTAGTAAGCTAGCAGTGGTCTTTGCAACATATGTATAAGCCAGCAGTGGCCCTTAGAGCATGTGTGTTGCTGTTTTGAACAAGAGTTTCAATTTTTCTGAGGGTTATGCACAGTAGTGGATTAGAGGCTGTGATGGATGACTATTGTAGTAGTTGTAATCAAACCAAAAGCAATTTTATTTCCCACACTGTGTAAACAAACATGTTTTATAGGGCATCAAGGGTTCCCAAAAAGATTGTCTTTACTGAATGGATCATATGCTTACCATTGTGTTTAAAAGATTGGTGAAACTTGTATAACAGTGGAGCTTGAGATTTTAATAATAATATTAAGTAATAAACATTTTTAATGCATCAACACTGGCAAAACTGTCAAGATTTTTTTTTTTTTTTTGCAAAAATAAGCTGCACTCTTGCATGACTTAGGAGAGGATTGGCGATCCTTACTGAAAAAAAGTAGTTCAGCAAAAATTAGTTATAGAAGCAAATTATACATCACTTTTACATTATAAATACTGTGAATTATAACATTTAAAAATAGAGTTTCAGTGAAGAAAGTAGAGGGTTCTGTATACAAAGTAATGCACAATATTCCAAATTTTTCCTTGGCATAGATTTTGGCACACACGGTGCTAAATAATAACAGGCTTATGAATTTTTAAATGTTCACAGAAAAGATTCCAAACCTTGGCTTGGCAAGAATGCTCAGCGCCGGAAGAACTTTCCGGAGG